GTTATTTAATTATTTAAGTTATTTAATTATTTAAGTTATTTAATTATTTAAGTTATTTAATTATTTAAGTTATTTAATTATTTAAGTTATTTAATTTCTCTCTGCCCTCATCCTTGATCCGCTAACCTCGGCAACTGCTCTTATTAAGCCTTAGCGAATTAATCGCAAGGCGCTTTTTAAGCCCGCCGCCGACCATCGCCGCACTGCCTCCCCTCGTCCCTTTCATTTCACCCTTATTGGGACGGCGTCGTCCAGCTTTTCGTGCCTTGAAGATTGAAGCCGCTAGAAATCAAGTCTTGTCTCGCATTTACACGTATTTGGCGGCCCTCCCACTTTCTATTTTCATGTCTCGCACACTCTCCCATCTCGTCTTTCTTCGTTGCTCCTCGCAAGATGCTCATGCCAGTAACAGCTGCGGTTGAAGGGCGAGGCTCTCTACCCTTCATGTAGCTATACAAACATGCGGTCCTACAAAACCTCTCCCCTGCTCTGGACTTGTTGATAGCATTTCCTTGTGCCCTTTCCTATTTCCTTTTTGAGCAAATGAACGCGTAGGTCTTACGCCATTGTCTCAGCTCTGATACGACTACATTGGCGCTCCGCCCCTTTGATTGGACACGCTGGACCAATCCTTTGGGCGGTGATGTGGCTATTATTCACCTGCATGACAATCTAATTTGAACCGTCCTGGCGCCACGCCAGCACTATAGTTCCATCAGGGTGCTCCACCTCGCCTAAGGCCTACGGCGTTGCTGTAACATTGCAACGCAACCGCAACTGGCCAGGGCTGGTACCCATTTATGCAGACTTTTCATTCCTGGGCGGCGGTGTTGACTGCGACATATAAAGCGACGCTTAGTCCAGAGAGGGAGCTACTTCTTTTGAACTTGGCATGGCCAGAGAAGTCACTAGATCACCCCACTGAGATGGACTCCTCTTGCAGCACCTCTTTGTTAGCCCCTCTGCTTTCTATGAAAATTGTTCCATACGTTTATTGAGCGCCTAAGCCTATGTAAACACCTAGGGCTAAATTGACGCGTTTAACTAAGATAGCAGAGGACAGCTGTTTAGGAGGTGCCACATCTAAAGATGACCTGAACTGGTTCTATGCTGATAATTTCCTAATGCTGGATTCTATTGCATCTCGCTCTCTAGACCTGAGAGTACCTGCTCTGCTTGGAGCTGCAGAGGCTTCAAATTCACTAGACTAGGGTATTACCTGTCTACTGATTGTAGCAAGCTAGTAGAACTGAACTAACACGTAATTGTAGGTATAGTTGGTGGTCTTGGTGCCGCCTCTAAGTTAGAGAAGCTAGAGCATCACTAGTCTAGCTGGAAATTGCTTGACGGAGGAGGGACACACTATGCCGCGAGCGTGGCTAAGACGAACTTAGCTCTGAACGGCTTGTTTAACGGCAGCGGTCTAGGTAAGTATGCGAGTAGATCGCGGTGCTAGTTTACTAAATTGGTGATAAAATTTCCTTTTAACTTAGAGAGTGACAGAGCTGAAGAGCACTACAGTACAACGCAAGCTAAGCCTAGCAGGAGAGCATCAGTATTAAGAGAATGGTTACCACGCGGCTGATAGCACAGAAGGACACTGTGCTGGACAGGATAATGATCTTGACGCAGCTAGCATGTGTGCCCTCTCTATGGAGGGTATGGAGGGTATTTACTATAGTGAGTAGTGTTTAAGTACTGGTTAAGGAGCCCACTCTGACATTCTTAGAAGCGCTATTACCGGTGGAAGACGAACTACTCTTTGACATTGACGTGACGAGTGCATTTCTGTTAACACGCAAACGACACGGCTTTCATCTGTTGGCGCTATAATCTCTTTGTTAGAGATGTTGGGCATTGCATTAGAACTAGAGCTGGAAGACACTCCTTTAGCGAAGCGGTAAAGGCCATCTGAGCGACAGGAGAGCCTTGTACTTGATTAATATGCCCACTCCTAACCCAACGTCTCTGCCAACCCCCAGCTGCCCAGATTCCTGTTTTAGAGCTAGCAATGAGCCTAGCCCTAGCCCTCTAGAAAATGACAGCTAAGGTGGTGGCGCCGGAAGCCCAGTCCCGTCCCCAAACAACCTTGATGAAGATGGAGCTGAAGAGAGCCACGAGGATGAACTTGGTCGGGTTGATACGGTGTCTGGTAGATCCTTGGTGACAAATTTTAAGCGAAATAAACGCAGCAATCATCCAGTCCAGAAGAAGGGGCGCGGTCTGATCCGGGGTCAAGCATGATTGTCTGCTAGTTAACTTATAATACTACTAGACCACCCTGTTGCGGCTAAGAAGAATATTAAGCTTCTGACACATAGCTGATGGTGTTTTGGCGACTGTCCGCCCCCGCGCTGTCAACATAACCATGTCTCTGCTTGCCAGTCAACTCGCTGAAAAGTCGCATAGTTTTTCACATGGAACATGATTAAACTTGGTGTAATATCTATTGTTTTGGTGGAGTGGATCTAGTGCAATTGCGTGTCGGGGCGTCGCTCCACATCTATCACCAGACCGTAATGCGCGGCATGGAATCAAGAATTTTCTCCTAGACTAAACGTCTGTCTCGGTCGCTGTGTTCAAGCATTTTCTCGACCTGTGCCTACTTGCTGAGACAAGCATGGATGCCAGCAATCGCAGCCAGCGTGCCATCCGGGTTCTTCACCTTGACCGTCTTCAGGCCCAATTGATGAGCGGGATAGTCATTTCCACCGGGGAAGATGGCGTCGCCGATGAACATCATCTCCTCGAGGGGGATGCCACTCTGGTCGCGCAGCCTCTTCAGGCCGTACGCCTTGTCGACACCCTTTTGGGTGATGTCGATGGAGGTGGCCCCTCCCATGTTGATGGACATTTCCGGCAGTCGCTGCATGAGGTCTTGTTGTATCACCTTGCGTTTCGCAAAGTCGGGGTCCCAGTGCCCCTTCTCTTGTATCGGCGCTTCCTGGCCCAGGGCGGAGAAGGTAATCTGACTGCCACGGTCTTCGATGCGGTTCCCCCAAGTCTTCTCGGGCTTGAAGCCGGACTTCTCGAGCGAAAGGTCAAAGGCCTCGAGGATGCGCTCCTTGTCGGAGCTGCTGAAGAGGTCGGCACAGACGCGGCCCCACTGGCCCTCCTTGTATGTGTAGAGTTTAGTGCCGGTTGTCGGCAGGAGCCACAATTTGGAGCGGTTCGCGCGTGCTGGTAGCCGGGACGCAATCTGCTTCTCGAATTGCGGCCAATCACCGCCGGAGATGACGGCCACATATGCGACATGGAGCAAGTCGGCCAACGCCTCGCCCATGGAATCGAGGAGCGGCTGCTTGCTCAGGGCAAGAGTGCCATCGAGGTCGAACGCGACGAGGGAAATCATGTTGTCGTGCCGGCGGGGTGAGTTGATCAACAAGGACTGCAGCTGGGCAACGTGTCAGCGAAGGATGCGGGTGGTAGGCAAGATGCGAAAGCGGAGGAAAGACGCCTGGCCATGGTCGTCGCGTGTTTTATGCTCGGCAGCGGTTCACCGCCCTGGCGGGGTGATTACTGCCAGCGCACGCGCCCGTGTGCTCCGCCACCAATCAGAGCGCGTAGCCTGGCCCCGCTGACATCGCGTCTGGATCCGCTGTTGCCTCCGCGTCAGCCTCAAATTCGACGCTCGCCTGTGCTCCTTCTCTCGCCGTTACAATACTTGTCCGCCCGCTCGAGATCCCCACCCCGCGACCCCTCTATCGCCCCCACCCCCGCCGGCCGGATCCCAACAAGGCCCACGTCACCTTCGCCGTCCCTACATGCGCGTATACGTGAAACCCCATGGACCGTGGCCTCTGCTTGGCCCGGCCGACGAAAGCGCCACAGCCGAACCGCAGAGCAAGATCCGCTTGGTTCGGGAGATGGATGCTACCGTGCTGCATGGCCGCAGTCGCTAGGGGTCCCGCTGGTGGTCTACGAGCGGCTTTTGCCCTGCTCCCACAACAAGCATCACTCGGCGCAGCCCTAGGTGGCTGTACACATCATCCTGTTTCTACCTCCTGTCTTTATCCCAGCGAAACCCGGTCCAGGTAGTAATTGAAGAAGAGATGGGTGGACAAGGGCAATGGGTGGGGACACGGCAGGGTGGCAGCAGGTTGGCTGATCGTTGGACCGACTGGACTTGCTTTGTGTACTTGCGAGGAAGCAGCGCGGCCATGGGCTGCTACATACAGTAGCAGCGTCCTGTACAGCGGTCATGACGCTGCGAGGCTGTTGCACGCGTGGATGCTAGGGACTGAAGAGGCAGAAGTAGAGGAGACGCTCGGGAAAATTCACAATTCAAACACGGGTCGCCTTCAATACAATCATCCGCACCTCGATGCTCTCTCTCGGTTGGTCCTCGCCTTCCGGGAAATGCATTGCAGCACCATGAGCCAAGTAATCTCATCCGGCAACATTAGCCATCGTTGAATTAGAGACAAAGCGCTGACTCACCGGCAAAGCCACGGCCACGAGTCGAGGTCCACGACTTGAATAGTGCCATGTCGTCCGGGGTCTGGTCCGAAAAGAAATATCACTGGCGGTAGGGTCGATGCTTGAGGTACAAGTTCTTCACCACGCGGTCCGGCATCACTTGATGGCATTCGATCAGGTCATCGCGCAGGACAGAGCGGCGGTCCGTGACGACGAGCGGAGCGATCTTGACCGTCTTCAATGGGCGCCAGGCACTGAGAAAAAGAGAGACGTAAGTATGTGTGCGATGCGGCATGCACTCGTAGGGCATGGGCGCGGGTGTCGGCAAAGGACGCACTTAATGATCTCAGCCTGCCACTTCCCACTGTCCACCATGTCGAGCTCGTCTTGGGTCAAGTGAATCTCCAAGCGATCACGGCCGCCTTGGTGTGAGAAGTCTGCTCGTTGAGTTGGTATTGGCGCGGTCCATGAGCACAATGGGGGGTGAGAGAGGATGGGAAGGGTGGGTCTGCCTATCGCAATGCATCAGGAGACCAAGCAGTAGGGGCTGCACTCGAGCCTCGAGCACTTTAGAAGTCGATGGCGCTTTGGGTGCCTCCGAAGGAGATTGGCTACGTCGGAACTGTTGCAATGTCAAAGATGTAAACAAGTCACCACAGCCCCACCCTCTTGTCCCTGCACAATAGCTTACCCGCCAATCGATGCAACTGACCTTTTCGTGCACACGATGCTGCTCGACTAGGGCAATAGTCTCGGATAGGTAGCCCAGTACGACCTGGTTATGCGCGTCTCGTCCTGCGGCCTCAAAATGCTCGACAGACAAATGACAGCTTGTCTTGTGTTTCACAAACGTGAACCCTTCTGCGTCTAGACTCGCACCAGATTTGTAGTCTCTCACATCTTGGACTGTCACTCCGGGTTGCACGTGATACGAGCAGTTGGTGAACTTTGGCGGTGCCTTTGCGCCGGGCTTCAGCACGGCACCAAAGAGCTCGTATGGCTGTTCCTCCTCAAACAGCGGGTCATCGACAAGAAACTTGAGTGCAAAGTACATCATCGTCTCTCTACAGCCCTCCTGGGTGAGCGGAGCTGTGGTTGTCAATGCACTTTGTCTCATACCATTAAACTGTTGGCGAGGCGGAGAAAAACTGGAATAAAAATGCGAATGGAAGTGGGATGATGGAATGCCGACTCCACCTGTGCTCTTTTATCCGCGGCGATGTCCAGCGGGTGGTTGGGCGGGTCCGCTGACAGCCTAAGCGCCAAGGATGACGCAGGCAGTCCATGACACCGTCCGTGGTTCACCACCTCGCTGGGCTCCATCCAGCCTCCAATCATCCACTTTACAATCTGTTCGGCGATCGTGGCAACACAAAACGTGCACGCATATCATGGGCAAAAGAGTCGGCACATTTCGCTCCACCTATGCTGTCGCGCTGGCATCGGTAGGGTCCTTCTTGATCGGGTATGATACAGGTGTGGTCGGCGGTGTTCTCACCCTGCCATCGTTCCAGCGCGACTTTGGCTACGCCGCGGAGCAGAAGACGCGCGTAGAATCCAATTGCCTGTCACTGCTTCAAGCGGGTGCTTTTTTCGGATGTCTTTTGGTCTGGCCGATCACATCGCGCTTCGGCAGGCGCTGGGCCATTGTCGCGGCGGCCATGGTGTTTTGTCTCGGAGCCACTTTGCAGGTCACCACATACTCACTTGCCTGTTTCTATTCTGGCCGCGTCGTTGCAGGCCTCGGGACAGGCGCGAGTTCGGTTATTGTGCCCATCTACACGGCGGAAGTAGCACCAAAGCACATTCGTGGCAAACTTGGCGGATGCTTCCAGCTTTTCATTACGCTCGGTGTCGCGCTGAGCTATTGGACGGATTATGCTGTGACGGCGGGCATCCGACCATCCTCACTCGGACCACCCCCCTCCAAGCAATGGCAAATACCGATTGGACTTCAACTGGTTCCGGGCGCCATACTCGGGCTGGGGATGCTGTTTGTCAAGGAGTCGCCCCGTTGGCTCGCCCAGAGAGGACATCGCGAAGCGGCTTACGCAGCGCTGCTCTGGATTCGAGGCGTCACCAGCATGGATGAGGACTGCCAGCTTGAATTCCAACAGATTCTCCATGGTATGGATGTAGAATTTCGAGCCTCAGGAGGTTCCACCTGGAAAGAACTGTGCCTCCCGTCCAACCGCTGGCGTGTTTTTCTTGCATTTTCTTTACAGGCGGCCCAACAGTGCACCGGCAACACGAGTCTGGCGTACTATGCGCCGCAAATCTTCGTTACAATTGGGGCTGGCAACCAGTCGATCTTTGTCACGGGTGTCTACGGTATGTTTAAAATCGCTGGGGTGGTCATCTTCATCACCTTCCTGGTGGAACGAATTGGACGAAGAACGCCATTCATGGCCGGCGCGTTTGCGATGGGCAGTTTTATGCTGGGCATCGGCATCCTCGTGGCCATGCACCCACCCATGAATGCAGACGAGATCGATACCTACGGGGCTGCCGCCATTGGCATGGTGTACCTGGAAGCATTCTCATTTAATTGGTCCTGGGGTCCACTTGTCTGGCTATACATTGGAGAAATATTCCCGCTGAAGATTCGAGAAGTCGGTAATGTTGTGGGAGGCTCTAGCCAATGGCTCTTTAATTTCGCCTTTAGCCAACTCACGCCGCATGCCATTGCCACGATCGGTGGGAAGACGTTTCTACTATACGCATTTCTCAGCTTCGCCATCGTGGTGTACGCGTTCTTCGTCGTGCGTGAAACTAGGGGCAAGTCATTGGAAGAGATGGAAACTGTGTTTGGGACGGTTGGTGTATTGGAAGGGCAAGCGAGCAGACTCCAAGCAGATGATAGTGTGCGTCTCATTAGCGACTATGACTAGAGAATGAATCAAAGTGTGGAAAGGCTAGTCTGCATAGAGTGGATTCTATTGCACAGTAAAGGCTATAGACGTGAGTCCATTCGGCTCCGCGTTCGATTCACTAATCAACTAGATTCTACTAGAATTTAGCTTGGAGAAACTCTTCTCTGACCTGTAGAAGAAAAGCCCTGGGGCAAAGTGTTCTCGTACGTTGCACGGCAGCGTCAACGACCGTAAGAACAGCTTTCATGTCCTTTTCTGTGCTGGGAATGTGCATAGGAAGGACACGAAAGTCACCGATGGTAGCGCTATGACTCTCAAAGTACCCACGGACCATAGAAACAATGTCGTTTGAAAAGCTGTCTACCACAACCAGGATGTTCTTCTTGCAAGAAGTGGTATCATGGGACTTGCAGTAGCTTTGAATGAGTGTCGGGTTGCTCTTGTCAAATAGCTGCGAGACGGAGGCAATGCGATATTGGACATCTGCTGACATGATCTGTTTATGTACTCTCCAGGCACTGGGTCGAGCTGCTGTTGCTCTTGTTGTATCCACATAAGAAGCGTCAACGGCTATCTGCCCGTTGGTCAAAGTTCCACTGGCTGCTGGTTCATCGGCATGGTAATAGTCACGGAGAACCGACAAGGCCGTGCTAAAGTCGGCCCGGGAGGCGTTCGCCGCACTGAACAACACAGTACCCTTTCCGGAACCTGCCGGAAAGAGGCGTTCAGTTGCCGATCCTTCCCTCATTCTTTCGATTGGGTTTGCGGGCACCATGTGTTCCCATAGCGCACCGGCCTGGAGTTCTGCATCGTAGATGCGCAGCCCCACTCGCCGAAGAAGGCTCAGGATGCGTTCAAGATCGACATTGCTCAACCTCCCTTTCAGCGAGGACAAGGTAGCCATGAATCCAATCGCCATGGCCAAGCAATCGGCATCATCCGCACCATCGGAGGAAGCGGTAAGGTTTCCCTTGATCAACCGGATAGCCCGTACCGCTGCATCCCCAAGCCCACCGACAATTGGCAACGGTGAGCCCGCTGTTGCTGAAACGGTGGCCGCCAGCTCTAAGGCGTTCGCGAGGTAGGCTGCGGCTGCACCTTTCTCAAGGTGGTTTCCCAGGATGCTCTTTATGTGGGTCTCGACATACAGGAACAGCTCATTATCGAGGCCTAATCCGACCGCAATCCTGAGCAGCTCGGCCCAGACGCGCCGGGCCTGGCTTTGTGGTGGATAGACAAGAGAAGCTGGATCGTAGAAGGTGGCAATAGGTGGATGGGATAAAGACAATATCTCCTTGTGGACTTTGGCTCCCTCGCGACTGGTGTAATCCAAAGAGAGGTCGTTGTTCCCGTGGCGAGCAGCAGCACATCCCAATACAACCCCGACAAAGTCGGTGGGTATCGATATCCATGGCGTCGATCGACGGTAAATGGCTGCAGCAAACCCAACCACGTCAGTGATGGTCCTGCCGCCGACAGCAGCGTACAAGTCTCTCCGCCCCAGGCCAGCTCTACACAGTAGTAGAGACAGTGCTTGTCATCACAGCAAGCAAGACATTATAAAGAGACACAGCACTTATATCTAAATACTATAAAGAACTTAAGAAACACATTAGATACAAACTTATATAAGACTAACCTACAACACTTACTGTAATAATTACATAAGCTACATAAGTAGATGTAAGGCCAAGATGGCGCTTACGTGCGACGGGTATATATACTATTCTGTACGCAACAATTAATGTTGGTTGATTATTCGCACCTTTTTAGTTGTATTGGCGCAGTGGTACAGAGCTCCTGTTACAATCCTTGCTTAGTGAAGCACTCGGGTCAAGGGGTTCCTGGGAGTAGGACGGAGAGGAGGGGCCGACGGTAGGGTGTACAGTCCTACGTAAGGGCTAATGGGCTTAGCGGAGGATGATAGAGTGACCGGATCGTGGTTTGTCCCTTAATGCGGCAGTATAGTGGCCGGGTCAAACAGTCCTGTTAGACAGAATTAGAGGTATATATGTTGCAAGACATACAAATAGTATTGCAGCTCTTTAGAAAGCTAAAATGCTACTTAGTTTATTAGCAGAGCTTGCTCTGCTTATTATATTCGGGTTTGCAGAACGAAAAGTTTAGCAGAATCTCCTCTTTTGGACGCGCTAGTTAGTCAGAATTTCTTCGGATAAACCCCGGTAACGCTGTTTCTCTGTCAGCTTATGTGTTTCTTATATTCTTTTTTAAAAAAAATGTATACCTAATGTAAGTGCACCTTTATGCTAATTTGCATGCAGTTTGCTCTAGCATGCGTTGTGTAAAACATATTTAAATTATGGTTAGTTGCGTCTGTTCCACCTCTCTAGCCACATCGGTATGTCGGGGATTGGCATCAGCCGCATCGGTGTGTCGGGGATTGGCATCAGCCGCATCGGTGTGTCGGGGTGTCAGATATGCGCACCTACTGTCAAGACAGGAGGAACGCTGGACGAAAGCTGCTACATAGTACGAGCAATAAGCTCGAACAGTATGTTGCTGCAAATTGCTGCATGTTGCAGCATTTTGCAACAAATTGCAGCATGTTGCAGCATTTTGCAACAAATGGCAGCATGTTGCAGCATTTTGCAGTATTTTGCAACAAATTGCAGCATGTTGCAAGCTGGTCGCGCATAGGGCTAGTGCGCGAGGGACTCAGACCGGAAAAACAAGGCCGAGCAACACGAGCAGAGCAGACAAAAAAAGATTAATAAATTAATACAATTAATTATCATCCCATACATCATATCTAAACCCATCATTTATCTTAGGAAGCCTAGAAACAGTGCTTTAATCTGACACAGGGATTAACAGTTACTCGCACACCTGAGTTGCTTACTTTTGCCAAGACCACACCACAACAAACGTTATTATAGCCCATAACAACCCACTCTAGCACTATAGAGTACAGTACAGCCTAGAATATTATTTAGATACTACTTCTACTTCTTGCTTACACGTTTGCGCGTTATGCCTAGTCTAATTACACTGTCTACAGCGCCTTACTAATTTCTAGATAACTATTAAATAGGCTTTATACTAGCTAGCATTTATAATTAGCCAGTACGTGCAAGGCAAAGAGGGCTGCACAGTGTACACATTGCGCGGGGGGTAGTAGGTAACTAGTGTTAATTGTTCTTCTTCTAAGTCTATGCAAAGGAAAGGAATATTTATCTGTTTATGTGTACAACTGTGACACAAGACTATGCTACATAACACCTAACATTATATCTAAATACTTCTATTTAGATAATAACTAATCTTAAATTTATATAAACCTTTAGTTTTTAAAAAAGAAATTTTACTAACTTAATTAAAGCTAAAAATTAGCTAGCTAGCTATTATTTACTTATGTTGCATAGACCCTCTGCTAGCTAGCACTTGGTGTCAGCAAATGCGTACGAGACAGAGAGGTTTGCACGGTGTAAACATCGCACAGGGGTGTTAGGTAACTAGTGTTGATTGCTTCTTGTTTTTCCTCTGTACAGAGGAAAAGGGGGATATCTAGATGTTCGCGCACAGAGGTTCGCGCACAAGCATCATGTGACATAGATACGTGATCCTGCTCGTGCGTGATCGCTTGTATCCAGGCCGCAACGCTGCTGCTGTGTACAGACACTAGCAACTTTTCTTTTTGTCTAAAGAGTTGCCTTCTGTACGCGTTACCTCCCTTCTGTCTATGTAGGTCTATTTAATTATGTTCTGCCTTTACTTTACCCTATTTGTTAGGACATACCTTAGTAATGCTGTGCGTTAGAATAGGCTAGTTGCGCTATATAAATAGCTCTTCTTTTCTTTATCCTTTGCTTTCTAAGCCCTGCTGTACAATCCCCTAGCTCTCTTCTCTTTTTATATAGTGCTAACAGTGACAGATCTTTATAATAAAAAAGATAAGTGCGTATAATATAAAAAAAAATAAAGAGAAATAGGCCTTATATAAAAGCATTATTAGTCTAGTTAGTCTAAGGCATCTTTGCGCATAGGATCTAGCTAGTCTACAGATGCTTCTATCTAGACAGAGAGGCAGTTAGTTAGGACTAATAATTAAAAAGCCTAGTTTAGTGTTTTCTTTATACATGCATTTACTAAGTTGTTTTTACTATTAATCTACTTTATTTTAGTAATTTCTCTTTTCTTATATAATTTATAGAGTAACATAATGTTAATTATAAGTTACTTTTTACTAGTAGTGCCTAGCTTAATAAGGTAATTATATAAAAACCTTAAATCTGTGCAGATTACTACTAGAATTAGTAGTAGTTTAAGTGTTTATATAATTTACTATAAAGTTGTACTAAGAGTAATTATATTATTAAACTCTCTAACTATTTTATATAGTTTACTAGCAAAGACACTTCTAGTTACTTTTTTACACTTAGTAAAATTCTAGTATATAATGTTACCTAGTATTTTAAAGTAGTTACTTTGCTCTATATAGTTTTTATTACCTAATATAATTAAAAATTCTAGCTATAAGCTAAGGTCTTTATTATTAGTAAATAATTTATTTATAAAAATAAACAGCTTTGCATAATTAAGCTATAATAGTAAAAAAGTAAGACTACGCTTACTATTATCTATCTACTATTAGATTTATGTGTTAAGTGTGTTAATATTATTATATAAAGGGTCTATAGTTTATGCAGTAATAGATAGGTTAAATACTACTTTTAGTTAACACATAAATGTAATGTATACCTTTCTTATATATTACTTAACATATTATTATGCAGCATCTTTATTCTTTAAGTTAATTATATAAAGGTAGCTTACTTATCTTTTCTAAGTAAGAACTACTATGTTATACATAAGTTTAATTCTTTTACTATTAAACTTAATAAGCTGCTTTTCTACTAGAATAGTTTTACTTTTTATGTAAAACTTTACTTTTTATAGTTTTTTTTTTTTCTTTATATAAAATTTTTTATTATAATGCTTAAAGTGTTATTTATTTATAAGCTAGTAATACTAAAGGTGTGCTTTTCTTTATTAGTAATT